TGCAAGGCGAATTATAAAAAACAGGGAGAATAAAATGAAACTAAAGTGTCTATAATAGTATTAAATGGCAATGATAAACTGTTGAGAAATTAACATATTTATCTAACGATCGAAATTAAGCGTAGCAAATTCAAGGCAAAACATCCAATCCAAATGGAAAATACGGGAAAACCCAATTATACTATGACGTAAAAGACAAAAGGTCCAATTCATATTGAGATAACAAACATTAATCATTGCTAAAACACTCGATGAATAACGATTTTGAACGAAATCGATTAAATGGATAAGTTCATTGACAGGTGATAAGCCTCACGCTTCTATAATAAGAACTGCAGACCCAATATCTACGCATCTTGAGAATAAATCGCAAGTTTAAAAAATTTGTCTTAATGAAAAGTAATGTTGGGAAAGGTTTTGGATGTACTATAATTTTTCTCTGAGTATTACGCGATTTAAGTAGTAAAAGACAAGTTTTGGACTATTAGAATATTTGAATTACTATTATAGAAACACTGGGAACCGACGATTAATTGGAGCACAATTACATACTAATATTAACAGTTGCCTAATGCACGTTGTCCAACGGAGGCACCTTACATCTTGTGGATGAGCATAGTACTGTATAGGATTGTTATTCGCTCCACTGGGATCGAATGGACGCTTTGTGGCGGCATTAAATTGGACACTATTCTAATTTATGCTTGCAATTCTTATGCAGGAAGTTGTTCTTTAAAAGGAGACTAATTTATACACACAGTTTAAAAACACTTTAAGGAGATTACATGAAGCCCTACATACAAAGCTGCGATGATTTTGGCCCGGCCAGGAGCTCGAAAAGCAAATTGGCATGACAATCGCTCCAATTTCCCGGCTTCAGACGATGTAGAAGCTTTACCCACGTAGAGCGTTTCATTCTTTGACGACGGACTTGCATCACTCGAATCTCTTGTGAGCAGTCCTGGAACTGACGTGATTGATCCGTTTTAACCTGACGTCTGGAGTTACAGCAGTGGGATGTATATAGGCAGAACCAAGAGAAGGGCTGCGTTATATCGGAGTTGCATGAAAGGCTGGGGCTCTCAGGCCTGCCGAGAAAGCCATTAGGCAAGCAGAATTTGCACAGGCCTGTTCCTACCGTTTCAGGAGTGACACCTGTAGAGTTTAAGGGAGAGGTCAAAAGCCTTTCTTCTTGCTCATATTGCCAAGCGAGAGCATGATCAAAAGCTATCGCTAAGAGCTGGCGCTTGCGAATTATAGAACTGCGCACTTCTTTCTGGATGAAAAAAAGAATAATCAAGCAAATATGTATTATGAAGAAGTAAGAGTAAAGTAAAGGATATAAAATGAGGTAGGCCCAAAACATATTTGTATTAAAGTATTGTTATACAAGTAATAGACAAATACATTATGTTCCACAATCCATCATAATAAGCACAATTCTGATATTATAGGATCATGGGAAATAATATGAAAGATAAACTGGGTTTCGAAGAACCCCATAATAGATTGATGAAAGAGTGCCTTTCATTTCGTGTGAAGATGGAAGTAGAGGGGATTTGTAAGTAAGCTCCGCTGGAAGCTGAAGCGTAATTGCCTTAGCGCTGTGACCGTAGATTGATGCGTATAGGCCCTAGGTGCATAGCCCTACAACCTGGATGAATCTTATCTGAACTGTCGACCATGTTTCGTGAATTATAGCGAAGCATTGTGTTCTGCTATCACGATGTCCGAGAAGCGACCAACAAAAGCTCAGCAAGGATTCATCTTGGTCGCAGGGCGGGGTGCCAAGGACATATTCGCGCAAAGTTGCCGTCATAGCTCCAAGGCAAACCCCTTTTACTTTCCGGTGAGACCAAATTACAAATTCCTTTTAATCGCCTCTTGAAATGAAATGAAAGGTACCCTAACATCAATATGAATGATCAGAATGAGTTTGTAAAAATATATATTTTTATATATAAACACCAAGATGGTTTGGCTTATTTTTGTTCGTAGTCCTCTTTAACTGTATAGTATTGGTTTGACTTTGTTTTCGTAACTTGGTCGGGGCAACATAGACCTTGTATAACGTACCTAATCACCGGTTCGATGCTGGCAGAGAATGCGGGAATAGAGACGTTCCACAAGGTCTCTATTTTGCCTCGACCAAGTTGTGAAAACGAGGTAAAACCAACATTAAATAAATGTTCTGCTTATTCTATTCGAATGATTATGAGTAATCCCAAAAGAATGCGACTTCAGACAACCTTAATCCCGATATAAAAACAAATAAAGTATGGGAAAGTGATATGAAAAAGGCCGGGCATTCCTTGAATTTGAAGTTTGCCGTCTGAGCTAAGGGCACTAGCGGCAGTGTCATAGTGATTAGGGTGTAGAGATTATACACTATATTACCTAAGTTCTAATCTAACTGAGGGTGCTAGCGAAGCTTAGGCGATGTCAAAATTGTACTACCCCCTAAATGAAAATGGCTTTAAGAAAGAAACGGAAACATGAGGCCTACTTAGATCATTGTATAGAAATCCAACTATCGTCCCGTCACCGAGTTAAACAATATAGGGTGAATAAGGCTCCTACATAGGTGTGGGAGATTTCTGTGGATAAAACAAGACGTTTCTGAGTCTATATAAAGTGAGGTAGAAAAGCTTCAAAGTAATCAAGGGCAGATAGGAAAATAGGCGATCTTTAAATTTTTGCAGAATGTGCAATATAAAAGACGACAGATCCAAGTATGTCATCGAGTTATAAGACATTTTGCAATTCCAAACAAAATGTAATTTAGTATTGGTCCGTAGATATGAAAACTATTGTTTGGTCGCAGTTCGAAATTTAATCGAAACTATGAAGTTCCTGATGGTGTGACCTTTTGGTATAGTAACAGATCATTTTCGTTGTATGAAACTTTTTTGTGCTTGATTTTGCAACTTGGTCTTATTTTCAGAGAGACATAGAAGAGCGCACTTTATCCAGAGTCCATAGTAAACATGACAATTTCAAGCGTTAGACCGTGGACTTGGTACATCCCCAGACGTTTTACCGGCATCCCCATTAAGCCTTGCTATTCTTAGCATCACATTACAACTTGTCTCTTTGGCGAATCGTAATGTGGCGCTGAGAATGTCAAGGCTCATTGACGATGTAGACGGAACGTCTTGGAATGTACCAAATCCACGGTCCGACTCTGAGCATTATCGTGGATACTATGGACTCCGGACAAAGTGCGTTTCTCTAAGTTGCCTTGAAAATACGACCAAATAAAAGTTTTGCTTCAAAGTAAAGTTAGATTTAAATATTTAACTGAAGGCTGATTAACGTTTCTACCATCTGAGCAGGATGGTGGAACGCGCCATTGCGTGCTGTATGAGTTTCTAGCTTATTGACCACTGTAATCCGACATGAAAACAAACGCCAAATAAAAATCATGAGATCATGGCAAACATAATGTCCAATGATAATAGAATATCACAGGACTCTTCATAATCTAATATTTAAATATAATTGACATAATTTAATAGCATTACGGCATAATAACATACCTTGCAATTGTCACGATAGTGATTCCAGATTATTGCGAAGGTAATAGTTATTAGAATAACGCCAACAATAAAATAGTAAATAGTAAATGGAAGATTGTAGGCCCAGTTCAAATGATAAACACGAAGGCTAAAAGCAGAGAAAACGCATAATTTCATAATAAATATTCTAATATTCATATAAACCTTGAAACTCAGTATGTGAATTTATGTTTGGATTTAGAGTCAAAAATAGTTCCTCTTAAGGATATTTTGGAAAAAAGTTTTACCATGTTTCTCAGAAGAAACAGCGAGGGTTCTAACGTGATAAATGTGAACTCAGAGTAGGTGCGATACATGCAAAACTAGGCTAAGTCGAACTACTTAGTTATATAACAGGTTAAGGGAAAGCAAAGCTATGTGAAAGTCAATGGAAAAGACAGCTTTACTCATTGTGGAAAAATTCAGCTACCAGTCCTTCATCACCTTAAAGGAAGTAGGATGAATACATATAAATGAAAAATTCAATACTTAATATTCCGATGAGCAGGATGAGAGGGTCTTCTGAAATAACATTAGCTGGGGATTATAATTGGTTAAAAGGTCAATGAATCATTTATGATTGAAAAACTTTGCAATTAGGCAGACGGGACATGATTATAGAATCGTCTTTGGCTCCAACTTTAACGAATGAGGATATGAAGACCAATATGGTGTGACTTTTTGTACGGTTGCGGTCTCCTTGCATTTTATAGAAGTTATTTGACTAGACGATGCCGACTACGGTGCCGGCGAAATGTCTCGGAATGTACCAAGTCCGCGATCCGAATTTGGAAATTATCATGCATACTATGGACTCAGTACAAGGTGCAGTCTTATAGGTCTTTATGCAAATATGACCAAGTTGCGAAAACAAGGTAAAACAACTTCTAATAAATGGGGCTCGGCTGATTCAAAAAGTACTCATGGTTCTGAAATTGTTTTTTGGGTATACGAATGACAGTCAGGAGGATATTTTAATGTTGAATATAGAGTTATAAAATGT